CACAGAAAAGCTCATTACAATAAAAACCCAAAGTCTACGAGTGATCAGACAGTGATTAGGTCCTTTTGTTTATGAGAAGCAGGCAGACCCATGCAGGATACCCAGGCGGATAATGCTGTCAGTTTCCTGTGCTGCAAGGTGAGGAGGAATGGAAGAAATGCAGGGACTATAAAATCAGCCATGTCTGGGAAGCTGCTAGAAGTTCTGAGCTGTGGCAGAAGGGCACAAGTGAAACTGCAGCTGTGACCAGACAGCACATCTCCTGGCTCAAGCTACTAGTTCCTCTATTTCCCGTGGAGCAGACGTGGGGTGTGCTACAGTGGTGTGCTCCAGAGGGGGGAGTTCACAAGCAGTGTGAAGAATGGCCCAGTTGTGCTTTCTGCCCTCCCAACCACTAAGCTCCATATATGTCCATGAGCACTATGCCTCTGCTTCCCCTTCGATTCTTTTTTCCTTTTTTAACCTCCTCAAGCAGAGACCACTACATCACTCGTATGTGTGTTGTATGTATAGCCTGTATATGCCACAAGTCCAGCTTCTATCCCAGCATAGTGCCAGCCCAAGTGCCTTCCATGTGATAACCTAGCAGTGATGAAGCATGGAGAGGCCAGGCAGGATGCACCCACTGGTTCCAGCTGGGGAAGGAGGGATGTTTTAGTGTAAGGCAGCATTCACAGTGTTGATGAGTCACCCAGGTATGCACAATAACTGCACTGGTGGCTCTTCCAGCACCCGCAACATCCTTTGCACTGCCTATTGGTTTCCTGTTCCCAGCACAAAAGCTGTTTGCCTTTAGTGAGTTAAATCTCTTGCTTCCCTGTATTTTCTCCCTGCCTCAGCTCCTTTAGTATTTTGCTGTGCTTTTGCAATTTATGCATCTGAGATTCTAAACATGGAAAGATTACAGCCTGAACTCACTCCTAACCTGTCTGAGAATGATATTTAACTACTAGTGCTCATGCCATTCAACAAAAGGCAGCACTGGATTGATCAGTGCCTCAGATTTCACTGATCTTTGGCTTCAATGTTTTTCTTGTTCTCTAGTAAAAAGTGCTAAACATTAGTTTGTTGACCCAGAATTTATATGAGGGTAGAAGACACTCCCACAGCAAGTTGCACAGATATGCAACTTCCTCACACAACTGATACTAACATCAAGTGGATTCCTCCCCTCAGTTAATGGACACAAGGATTTGTTGGCATGAACAAGGAATTAATCATTATTGACCAAGCACTCATTATGGCAGCTATCAAGAACAAGTGAGTTTAATTTTTGTAAAGAGATCTGTTTAATGGGGAAGGTGACTATCATATTTTGCGTGTGAGTGTGAAGGATTAGTCAGGTCCTTGGTTTGCTTGGGCTGTAGCTGGGCACAGGAAGAGTGCAACATGCACTCTCAATTGATGACTAGAACAGCTGTAGCAGAGTCACAGGGAATCCACTCTTTGATCTGCAGTCAAAAAGGGATGATCATCAGGGTTCTCACTAGGCTTAGTGATTAAAGGAAGAGTCTTATGAATATATCCCAAAGCCAGGGCTAGAGCAAATTACAACAAATTTGAAGGTGGAGAAAAGTCTTACTTTTAAATTCCGATATTCTGGATTTGTGATTTTTCATTTTTTTGATACTTCTTGTATCCCAGAGGCTGGTGAGTTGACCCAGGCAAGTCAGCACACAGCTAAGTCAGACATCCTTAATCTAGAGATATCTTAGACTCAGTGAGCGTAGTGTGCATGATGTGCAATCCAAGACATATGTCCACTGTTTTTTCATTTATTATATTTTTACATATATACATAATGATGGGGAGAAAAGACAAAAGCTTACATCTGTGTACAATTGTTTTCATGTCCATACATAAAAAATCCCTCAGTAGTTCCAATGTAGGAGATGCCTTTGCTTTAAATATGTCTTAAAATAGTGATTCCTATGTGATGTATGCAAGAAGTTACATTTAATGGTGTGCAGAGGCTAACTCTTGTCACAGACACAAACATGCAAGCACAGAAGAATCACATCTTCTACACCTTCTACACAGATACTAACACTCATGTCATAGCTGGTGACCTAAGGCTTCCAGTTTCTGCTAGCATACCTCAACAGCAGCCTGAACAAAATGTTCTTCTGTAAAGTGGTTGCACAGCAGATAGCTTTTATTGTTGCAAATCTCCGTAGCTCAGCAGATGGGGAAAGAGCAGAGGGAAAATCAAAATCCATGCCCTAGGAGCCAGGCCATCTTAGTGATTTACAAATTACCTCAGTGGTCTGCAGTCATTCTGGGCACTTGATATCACTCAAGTCCCTCTGTCTTCCTCTCTCTTGCATTCTCTGTCAGTATAATAACGATAAATCCAGGAGACTAAATTCAGCATTGCAGATTAGTGATGGGAAGGAAACTGGATGTGCATAAATTAAACAAGACCATTTGCCTCCTCTGATCTGCAGATGTTTTTCTCTCAGAATTGCAACTTCTTTTTTGCAGGTGACACCCACACATCTCCTTCGCTTACTGGCGATGATAGTAAAGGAGATAAACAACTGGAGCTCATGCAGTTACACTTAATCTTTGTATGTCATCATCACCGAGCAAAGCCACAGCAATAGGAAAACAGAGCGGTTTTCTGCTGCTCATTTCTAACTGACATTCATCACCAAGTTGCTCATGTAGCCTATGGACTCTTTGAACTTCATTTTGGGCCTACTCTCTTTCACAGTGTGTGGGTACTGCCGTACAGTGCTGAGCTGCAGTACAGGTATCTTCTACCCATACCCTGGTCCTCCTTTTGCCTCTCTGCCTCAGATTGCACAACTACAACAGAAATTCCGCAATAAAAATAAAAAGAATAAAAAAGAGAAAAAAGAAAGGAATACTCTGATTTTAAAACCTTATGCTGCAGGATAAATGTAGGATTTGTAAATTATCCTTTAGTTCAGAAAGAAGAAAAGGGAGAAATAAGGCTATTTTTTCAAATCTCTTTTGGTTTTGGGTAAGTGTATATGCATGGTTATTTTGACTTGAATCTCAGAAAACAACCACAGAAGCTTCATCATTCCAAGGGCTGCTTTTATTGGAGGAAATTCATTGTAGCTGCTGTCCAAACTAATGCATTTCTTCAGCTGCTGGAGATGAGCCTGGAGTGGCTTAGCTCCACTTTTCCTGCAGTCAGCCATTCATCCATCCTGCCTCTCCAGCCTCCTGTGGTTTCCTTGGCCGTTTCCCTTTGAATATGATTTACAGCTTTTATCTCAAGAGATTCCTGGGACTCAGCAGTGCACCCAAGTCTACACGCAGGACCTAACTTTGTTTCCATCATCAGTGCAGCTTGTCCCTAACCCTGATGCATAGCAGCCTATGGAGTAAAAAGTACTTCTGGAGACAAGGACTAGGGTGTTTTTTTTAATACTGTTATTTGTAGCATATGGCCAGGGAGAGGCAGAAGTCTGCCTAGTGTCATGCACCCTACAGCTGGTCTGTTCATTTCCATTCCCTGAGGGACTGTTCCAGAGTGTCACTAAAGTGGTTTCAGAGTGGTTTCTCCTTTAACCCCTTTTGCTTCTCCCATCCTTAGTGCTGGATTGCTCCATCACGGAGCTGGACTTGACTAGCGTAAGCTTTTGTCTGCAGCATAGAGAGGTTGTTCCCTTGCTGTCCAATTCTGTATCTTCATAGTCTCATACTTTTTGGTTGCTGTCAAAATAAAGCATTGACATTACTTCAGTATTCTGCTAATGAGAGAAAAAGCTACATGGGATAATGTTCCCAAAGGAGACTTCCTGCCCTGGACTTCAGCTTCAGTCCCTATGCCTCAGGAGCCAATGAGCTATGCAAACAGAAACAGTTCCTTTCTCCAGCCAGTTTTGATTTGGCTGGGGAAGGCTGAGAAGCCCAGGAAGAAATGCAAGCAGCCTACTTTGTCATTATCATGAGATAAAAAAACCCCAAACAAACAGCTCTCATCTTGACCACTGGTGGTTGAAGATTAAAGTAGCCTAAAGGCTGTCACAGGCAGCAAGCATAGGAGGAAAATCAGTTCATTCTGACTCACAACAGAGTGATTCAATTTAATGGGGCACTGACAGGGCTGTTGGCCATTACTTTAGCCGTTATCTAAGTTAGCCTGATTGATGGTTGTGTGCTGCTACAGCCTTCCATATGAGGGGCTTGAAATGTCACTCAGACTCTGTACCTGCAGTGTTGACACCTAAGAACCTACCCTGACAATACCTGAAGCCTCTTACTGCAGCCCTTGCTGCAGCTTCCTTCAAGGGAGTGGACCAGCATTTCTGAGCAATGTATGCTCAGATAAGAAGACAAAGTCGCTGCAGGCAGGCAAAACACGCAATTGTAGTTAAAGAGCCACTCCGGTCACACAAGGGGGCAGAAGAGAGGCTGGATGGGAAAGCTTCCTTCTGGCATTTCCTGCCTTTGATTTCTTGATTTTGCAACCTGGTGTCTTTTCTTTTAAGGTACTTTAGTATGTAATTTCTTAAGCTTCTTTACTTTAGAGCAAAAGGATTTTGTAAAAAGGCCATTTGATCCTCCTACCAGGCTGAAACCACTATGTTAATTTCCACAGAACTGCACTGTTAGAAATTGCTTGTTTGTGTCTTTGTTTTTGCTGGTTAGGGAGTATTTTTTCCTGACTAAAAAACTAGAGTTGTTCCAGACCGTGAAAACATTTCAGCTTGACGCAGAATACTTCTCTTGATGGAATAAAAAGCCAGTGAGGAAAAGGAATGATGTGGCCGCATAATGATGTCATGGCTAGGAAAATTGTGGCTTTTGAAAATTCCCTGTCATTTCAGTTGTTAGATCAATGAGACACAGACATTTCCCAGAACTGAAGTTCTCCTGGTAGGTTTATAGGTCCTGAAAATAAAGTCACATTTCTGTCTTTTCTTTTTTTTTTTTTTTTTTTTTTTTACAGGAAAGAAGTATAAAGAGAAAAAACAAAGTGCGAACCAGTGCCTTGATCTTGGAGATCCAGTTTAAAAGCAAAACCAGAGAAACCCACCATGAATTTGAGACCATTCAACTTTTTGTCTCTTTGCAAATGGGTTTGTATAAAATTGGCAGCCTCCTGACACTTTCTCAGCCAAATTGGCCACATCAAAATATCTGCATGCCCCTGAGGCTGGAATAGTAACATACTGTAATGTGATGCTCTAACAAAAGCACCTAATTGTGAAGAACAATCCATTTGCATCAAGATAAGCGGCTAGTAATGTTTCCTTCTCAGAGCCACTTACAGACACTGACTTTAGCTACAAATTACTGCCTCGTGCTGTCTGCAGCCTTTTCTACTCTTTATTGGACCTTAAGAAAGCTGATGTTGTACTCATTACCCATACCTGTTTTCTGGTTAGTGTGAGTGACTAACAAAATTATGCCTTGGTCTGTGATTCATCTTGAATGAAGTATTTTCCAGTCACACAGCAAAAGCCTTGCCGAAAGCGGAAAGATTTGATCTTTAGCACTGAAGCCTTTGCTTGTGTGCTCCTAAGGTTCAAGCTTTTTGTACTGTGTTATTTATTAGTATCAAACATACCATCAGTAGCCAAAGTTGCTTCTGTTGTCAGGGCATGTCTGCAGGTGTAATGAACATGGCAATAGCCAAAAGCCTGCTATGCATAGGAAATTAAATGTGCAGAAATTAGATGCACTGTGGGAAGCACGTGGTGTGTGGGATTCCCACGTGGTTGTTTGGCACAACTGAAAATCTGAAGATTATGGGAAAAATCAAAGTGATGAAAGACCCCCAAATCCTTCAAACAGAAAACATGCATCTATCCAATCACCACATGGCTCCAATCTCCTATGGCAACTCCTTACTCCAAACTGAAGAGGAATGTGGCATACAAGACAGCCTTTGTGAGGCGAATAGCTAGTCAGGGGTACAGTGGAAGGCTGCACAATGGTGTTAGAGGTTAACAAATGGATGGGTTCCTGAACTGCTGAGTCTGCCATAGGGATGAAAGGAAAAGAGATGATATGCAAAGGAGGAAGATGTGATATTGCTTGTCAGACATGCAGGGTCCATGTTTATAGCTGCAGAAGAAAGAAGAGGCATTTTCAAAAACTCTCATGCGCTAGAAGGATATTGGAATTTGGTGTATTCAAACTAGAAGGAACATCCAAGACTTTTGGCGTTAGTAACCCTGATAGCCCCAGTGGTGAATGTTCAAGATACTGCAGAGATAACTCCTCAGCATTTGTGTCCTAGGGGCTTGGTTCCTGGAAGCATGGAAGAGACAGGCTGTTGTTTTGTACTGTGTGGGATACATGCAGAACAGGAATCAGCATGCAGGGGGCTGGAGCAGCGCAACCCTTGGTTGACCCCTTGCAACATATGTTGATTGCCATTCAGATATGATGACTGCATATCAGATGTTCATTTGACACTGAGATCCAGAAGTGGAGGGAAGGAGGATGAAAAATTAAATCACTGTTTGGCAGGACTATATTTGCATTTGAATTAAGACCTGTGTGCAAGGCAGAAAATCCTATTGATCTCTTGCTGTCCTCCATAACGGCCAGTTTCCAAGTTCAGAGTTGCAACAGAGGGAGGTTTCTCTTTACATCATCCTGTAAACAGTATATAGCCCCCAAAGACAGGGCCAGGGAGGGCCAGGGCTGTCCTGACATGTTATGCATTGCCTAAAACCAGATGGAATAAATTAGGATTGCTCTGTTTGTCATATATGCTAATCCACATATGCAGAGCCAGACTCCAGGGTTAACTGGCTTGCTTCTCTGCAAACACTTTCATTTAGTCCCTTACAGTGGTGGATAAAAGGTATTTACTGGTATCTCATTGCCAACAGTCTGTAATCTGTGTTCCTACATTTCTTTAATATAGCAGCAATGTCCACTTTTACATAGTGCTGGGGCCTTTCCTGTCCTGATCCTTCATGTTTGTTTCATTGTATGTCTAGGATGTATCTCCCTTTCTTTTTGGTCAGTCAAATAAATTAATACTTGTTCCAGATGTTCCAGGACTTACTTTCCAGTATCATGTCCTGGGAGCTATCAGTATGCTTTAGATATGGAAATTACAAAAATGTTAGGGGAAGGAAAGCAAATTATACCAACATTTGCTTTAGAAAGTAATACTTTTCTCTGACTAGCCTCAGGCCCAATGCATTTATTCAGTTTTAATTTACTGTATCTATTTAATCATTTTAAACCAAGATTGCAAAAAGTATAATTATACTCTAGGGAATATAGATATAATGAAATAGAAACATCTATATCTAGAAATATATACATGAAATTTCAATAGAGAACATTTGCTCTGTTTTATGCTTTTGATACACATTTGCCATCTCACCTTATATTTGCACTAGAAGATGTGATTTTTCACAGCACATTGTAATCAGAGCAGTTGTTAACATTGGGTTATACAATGACAACACTGGTAGATGGCATGGAGACTGATGAAATAGTGCCTTAACCCTGTCAGAGGACTGCACAAAGCCTGCTGCTCTCTACCAGAAGTGGCTGGATGCCCCTGGCACAGGATCATCCACATCTCCCCTCCAAGTGAGGAGGAAGGTGGCAAGGCATTAGCATTCCCCCGGTCAGTGCCAGCAAGAACAGCCAAGCTGGGAACATGCAGGGATTGTCGTGGGTCCCGTCTAGCTCATTCCCCTCTGACCCCTGCACTTGCACCTTGCTGCCTCAGCTGTGGTACAAAGGCACAGTAAGGGGCTTTTCAGGAAAAGAGAGTAAAACGTTTATGTGGAAAAAATGTCAGTCTTGGAGGGTTTGTGCATCTGGTGAGGGGAAAGGAGAAGAAACATGCGAAAAGACTGGTTTTAATTTCTTCAGCCTAATCATAACCTTTTGGGTCTGCTGAACTGACCCAGAGGAGTGTTCTCAGGGACTGCTGGGTCCAAGACCACAGTCCCATACCAAACATGCAGCGCTGCCTCATGGCAGTGGGTGCTCAGGCAAGTCACTGCTGCATAGAGGTGGCATAGCACCCTCCAGTAACATGGTTTGTGGCGATACGACTCAGAACAAATGGTTTGGGGCTCAGTCAGCAAACTCACATGAAACTTTGCATTTGGAAGTGCCAAAGTTTTTTTCTGGGGTTAAGGTATCAAAGCAGATTGTTGCCACACTTCCACATCTCTCCTTTTGTAATGTCCCTCCAAAGAGGGAAAGAACCTGCTTATCCCAATTTGGAGGAAAGGGAATGTTGCACAATCCTAATTTTACTTCAAGATGGAAATATGATTTATTTTTTATTTAATTATTTATATATTAGTCAGTATAAAATAAACCTCAACTCCTCAGTGTGAAAATGGATGTTATGCCAAGACAATCCCAATTACAATTTAGGATGTCATATTAATGTAAACATGCTTAATTGAAAGGATGAAGCAGATTTTGCTGAAATCTTTGTCATAATCCAGCATGGAGCATTCCTGAGTAACATCTTTAGATAGAAAGGTAACCTCCAGTCAACAAAAAGTTCCTTGAAGAGCCTAGAGCAGTTCCTGCAGGTGGCTGAGCACTTGCAGTTCTGATTCACAATGGTGGGAATGAAGTACCCTCTCACAACCCAAAACCTTGGGTGCTTATGGGAAAAAAATTCAAGTGATCATTAGTTGCTCATGTCTGGACCCAGATTTTCGGAAGAGCTCCCAGAAGTGCTGGAAGATATGCACATGTTTTCAGGAGGACTCAGCAGAATGCCTTCTGGATAGAAACAAAAACTGAAAAAGGAAGTAAAACTCTCCTCCAAATCTGACCTCTCTGTCTTCTAATGCATCCCATACAACTTTCTGTTCCCTTCCTGTAGGAGGCAAACAAAACAGAAATGGGGTTCTTCATGATGATGACAGATCTTTCTTCCTCTCCTGATTGTCTTTATTTTGTCTCCAGATTGATTACTTTCTCACTTTGTGGATTTGCTTGATCACTACTTCAAATGGCCTTATGGCAAAGTATCCAACCTAAGGAGTCACATATTGAAGGTTTAGTAGTTTTCTATCAGCTTGATTTGTCCTGGCAGCCCATTTGTGCCACAGCCTAATAGCTTGGCTGACCTTTCCATCCGTCTTTCAAGCATGTGTTTTGAAGTTCAGACTGTGCCCTGGTCTTCTAGGGAAGAAAATACATATTTTTTTACATTTTGTCATATTTAACAAGGGTTTCTGAGGATTAGACATACAGGAAAGGAAACTAAGGGTTAAATCTAACGCAACAGTTATTGGGAATGGTCAGATGTTCTGGGTCTCCTAACAGCTACGCAAAACTGGAAGTATTAGGAGTAGACCAGCTCTGAGTTCTGATTCCATCTTTCTGTCTTACCCACTTACAACCCTCATCACAAGTTGTATCTCATTTTCAGCCATCATGGAAAACAGTCCTTTTAACTTCCCTCTTGGTTTTGTTTGTTTGTTTTTCTTTTAGTATATTATATCAAAGTTTAGACAATACTTGCTGTGGTGTAGTTATCCATGATCAATAATAACAAACATGATGAGAAAATGAGAGGCTGTCCTTCCATGTCCAACAGCAAGTGACTGCCTAGAAGCACCCAAGGCCACGAATAGGTCAACTGAGGAGTATCACGGCTGCCAGGACCGATATGCAGTGTAGTCTCGTGTTGGTGCATAGGATGGGTAACCCTTGTTCTTCTGGTACGGTGGGTGCCGGGGAGTCATGTTCATGTAGTCACTCTGATGGTACATATTCTTTTTAGATTTGTGCTGTGGGAAAAGGGTGAAGAGAAATGTGAAAACATTTCTGCAGTAAGTTTGTCCCGTCTGGGGTGAGCACTTGAAAAGGGAAATTAAGAAGGGGAACAGGGATCCTTTGAACAGAGGGGGGTTGAGTATTAAGAAGACTTGAGAGAAGTTAGTAAAGGATTTAATTATTTTTTCCTTCTTTGAATTAACAAATCATCTCACCCAACTCTCATATTAACTACTGACAGTTCTGACCTTAGCTCCCGATTCAGGGAAGCAGACATACTTATTAGGCAGCCTCAGGTTTAAGGGCATTTACAGAAAGATTGGAACACATATTCTCATAAAATAATCTATGGAGTTTGCCCAACCTGAATGTACATCTCCAGCTTATCTACCAAGAGATTTACACGGTTAAGTTTTCCAGGTAAAGGAATGTTGAAAATCAAGGATACAAACTGGTGCCTCTCACCATCAATTCTCGGCTGTGAAGTGACTCAGCAGAAGCAATGCAGCCTGGACAGTGAAGACTGTCCTCCTTTATTAGGAGGAAAAAAGAAATCAGCTTAACTCAAACAGAAGCAGGAAAAATCAGGATATGTGTATCATGGTTTGCCTACCATTTACAGAAGTAACATGCAATGCCTTTATTGTTCTAAGCTTTCCTTTGAGGTGCAAAAGAATCAAAGTTGATGTTAATCTTTTAGTTGTATCACTATCTGAGCCTCAAAAAACTCATTTCCACTGTTGAATTCCTGCTTTATAATGTCCCTGTGAGACAAGGGAGGCATCATCTGTCTCAGAAATACAAGTAGCAGAAGACAGGTGAAATAATTTCCCTGTAATCATAGAGGAAGTTTGTGGCTACAGCAGCAGTTGAGCCTCTGACTGCTGCAGGCTGTGCATAAGGTTGGTGTTTCTGTGTAGCTGAAGGCTTTATTGATCAGGGGCCATGTAAAGTGCTTCCTTGGTTTTTGTTAATACTAATTATACCTTCTTTTGTAAATCTCCTTTATACTGATGTTTCCTTCTTAGCTACATATATATTTACATATGCTGCAATATGCTTGTGATGCTGCAGAACTGGAGGAGCTTTGTATTAGAAAATCTGGTGGCTGAGTTATGCTGTACATATAGAGTAGGGCAGTTACAATGAAACATTTTAAGCTTTTTTATATTAATCATATATATATGCAAGGTGTTCACTGTAAGTTACATGCTGTTTAAGTCATGCAATGCAGGTGATATATATATCAGTAGATACAAAAGCTTTACTTGTATGTGCTCAACTCCATAATATATGGTTATTAATTCACCTAAAAGGCAATTTTGCATGGGAGAAAGACATTTTGCTAGCATGAATGAATGCTGGACTGTCACAAGATCAAAGACTGCTGCTTCTGGAGAGGAAAGCAGCCTTTCCCTCCAGGGAAGGCAGAACTGTACGTAAATAGACAAATCTTTAGCTGCTTTCAGGAACTCAGGTGAAACAGGCTTGCTGTGGCTGTCAAGTATCACATTTTAGGAGTTTTTTTTTTTTTCACAATTCACAATGTCTTCTAGGCAGCTGTATTTATATTCAGCAACACACTAAATATATCCATGCTCAGAGTACATATTATCAGGAGAATATCTCCAGCAGAGATAACAGCAGGTAAAAACTGATGCAGCGAATGGCACACATCACAGTGCAGCCTTGCCACTCTTGCTGGGGGCAGACATGTTAGTAGCAAAGTGTGTAGCCATTAGGTACCAAATGAATATAGCAGAGAAAATGGTTCAGATTATAAGTGATGGATTTGAATCTACAGTGTCTCACCAGGACCAGGCACAGCCACTGTAGCATAGCATTGTAACACTGTCAGCTGTTTGCTGTAATCCTCTCAACTCTCCTAGGAGTCAGCTTCCACAGTAAGGCACAAAGAAGGACCTGCCTCTGCATTTTCGTATGGCAATGCCCCATTTGATGTTTTCCATCAGAAATAACTATATATTGAACAAGCATATTTTTGTGAAACGCTTAACAGATCTCAGGATTCAACCAGCAGTGAGAGTGGCTTTCTGTATACACACATTGAACCTCTTAGGGACGCTGGGCCCTTTTTACAGGCTACCTCCTAATGTACTGATAATTGCTATTTAATGGCAAAGATAAAAGAAAAGGGCAGAATGCAAGGAACACAGCTCTCTATGATCGTTGTTGAAGTCTTTTCCACATGGAGTAACTAGTGTAAATCAGCTCTGGGAGATCACAGTCCTAAGACTTGTCTAGGAAGATGTCCTTCTGCTGTCTCTCCATCACACCTCACTCTCTCTGTACTCCATGAGGCAGAACTGGATGTGGCCTTGACCAGCCAACTCTCCAGAGAGATTAGAAAGCAAAAATAATGATCCATAAGAGTGTCTCAGCTTTCTTAGCATTAATGTACAGAGGCAGACGAGGGACTACTGAGATCACAGTGCTCCTATTTGCTTGCAGCCAAGCTGCTAGAAATATCACATACTTGAGGGAATTGGTGGATAGGCACAAGGCATCAGTGCAGATGGCCTTGGGCCAACTGAGCATTCCCTAAGATAGTTTTACTGTAGGTGAGCTCCTTCTCTCAGTCTAGGCTCAAAGAGTTTTTCCAGGAATGCTTGTAGTGCTGGATTTCCTTGACACAGACAATTGGCAGAGCTAGAGACTCTGTCACAGTATTTCTAGTGTGCTGGGCACTGGCAACACTATGGCAGTACTATTTGCTTTAGCACTCTACTGCAGATGCCTGACTGCCCACCTGGACAGCACCTGGTATTTCACCTCTTTTGGGGTGTAGCATGGGTGTGCACATATAGCGGGGGTGAAGAAGCACTGTGATCCTGAGGTGAGGGGTATCAGTGAGTTGGTGGTAAGCACAGCAAGTATAGCCTAAAAAATGAACTAGGACAGAGCACAGGAACTAGGACAAAGAGCAAAGGAAAACAGTAGTTTCTTACCCAGTAGTTAACAAAAGCTGCAGTTATCAGCATACTGTAGAAAGCAAGAACTCCAGTCACTGCTACCATAGTCCACAAAGGAATTGCAGACTGGGGCTCTTGTACTTGCATGGGTGTCTCTTCAAGGAAAAGAACAGAGAAAACTTTAAGTACATGAAAGTTACCCCCTCAATCTTTGCTTATTTACTCCTTGTTCCAATGAACAATTTGTATTAATCATCATTTAAAATGTCTTCTTCGGGACATCTGGAGCAGTAATGTAGTTTTACCAGGCAACCGAACTTATTTTTTTTAAAGGAAACTAACTGCATTAAGCCATCATGTAGGGAGTGTGTACAGGGAGGATACTGGCCTACAAAGAGTTCTCAGCTTACCTTTCACATGAATGACCGTCCCATTGCTCTTCTCATTGTAGACATACGGGGGTGGATACATGGCCTCAATTTTGCAAAAGTAAATGTCAGTTTGGTTGACACTCATATTCCAGAGATTGAAGATGACTTTGTCTTTATCATGAATCCCCTCACAGTTGAATTCTTTATTCGAATTACTGCTAATTTTGGTCGTGTTCCATAAAATAAAGCAAACTTCAACTGCTCTGTCTGTTCCTTTGTGCAGTGAAGCTCGAAACTCCTTCCCCGTTCCATTGTATGTGTAATTGCAGACTAGAGTTGCGTTTTTGTGAGCTACAGTGATCAAAGGACTCTGATCTACTAAAATCTTGTTTTCTGGAAGAGAGAGGAGAAAGTGAGAAAAACACTTATTTATAAAATACTGCATGAGATACAGAAACACTTCAGAGCCACACATCCTCCCATGCAACTCTTCTCCACAACTCGTCTCCTTTGCTGACACTTCCTTCCAGGGTACACAACCACCAAGCTGCAGAAGCAGTTTCTCACAGGAGCTCTTACTGCTACAATTCCCCTTTAAATAAATAACTACGTAGTCACTAGAGGAAGAGTGTGAAGTCAAGAGTGTTTTTCTTCAGAATCAGAACACTGGTACAGAAAGTGGCCCATGCGATAAAGACTTAACTTCAGGGCTCAGAAGGCTGCTCTGCAATGTGTGTGCATGTGTATACATATAAGGCCACCTTAGTCTACCCTTTTGTTAGCAGGCATTTTCCCAGGAGACATTATGGAGTGAAAATGCTGTGAATTAAATGCTGAGTTTAGCAGTCAGATAAGAGAGTATTATTTATACATTTGCTTTTTAATCATATGACAGACTTGAAGAGTTTGCAGGTGGATTTGCTGAACCATTTCAACAGTTTGGACCTTGGACAATGAGCACTGAAAGCACGAACTGCTGTTGTTTCAATGTAAAATAAGTCATTTCTCTAGCTAGCAGCTGTAGTAGATTCTTAATCTCTCAAAGGACTCAGAAGCTCACTAATTTGATGCTGCATTGGCACTTAGCACTTGAATGGCCTGCAGAAAAGCATCACATGAAGGTATAATTCAATTTGAATTGACCAGACTAATACATAAACAGGAAATGTTTTCTGACATACAGACCTCAGTGCTACTACCTGCCAAACAATGAAACACTGCAAGGACTATGCAGAAAGACAACTTCTTCCAAGAAAAATCATCCTGTACAAACAAGGCCCAACTTTTCAAATGGTGACCTGTAAGTAGGAGGAAGGGAGTTCTGGCTTTCAGGCTAGGAACTTGCCAGAGCTAACGCCAGCCCGTTCGTGTGTGTATATGATTACGTAACTCTTCACGCAAGCTCAACTCACATGAGGTCTTAGTAGCCTTTTATAGATCCCTGAGAATTGCTGTGCCTGTGAGAATTACAATTGCACCTCTTATCCTGAAGGTCTGCTGCAAAAACTATATTCTTTCTAATTAATCCATGTGATGAGACTTCAGGAAAGGCTAGTAAGCGAAATGAATGGGAAGGAGGCCAGATCCAGAATGCCTCGAAAACAAGTATTTCACTATGTTTAACAATATTTAGGACCGGAAAGCTACATTTACTGTGTTTATACCTACACAAGAAGACAGAGTACCCCAGCCTTTTGCACAGGATACTCCTTTGGGATGAATGTGATCCAGGGAGCAAAGTAAACACAAAGGTGCATGAGATGGCCAAGACTAGTGATAGGGTGTGGGCAGTAAAAACAACCCACTGCTACCAGGTTCTCTAGTTATCAGCCCAACCCATGAAACTGCTGAAGTTGTTCATTTTCTCACTGAAAGTCTTGTTTACCACCCTTTTCTACTCATGAGAGCAGGAAGCCATGAGACAGGGAATGCTCTACTGCCACAGATTTATCAAAGAAAGACTGTAGTCTAATTTCCTTGTGTTTCTTTGTTCAACATAGTTAGCATGTGGGGTTGAGCAGGGCTCATTACAGCTCTGAACTCCCATGTTTGTAGGGAACCCAAACACTATGAAGCTTCTTGTTTTGATGAAGGGTATTTCCAGGCTTTCCAGCAGAAAAAAGCACAGATCTTGGAATCCTGGAACTGAGCAGTAACTGAGTAATGACAAACAAGGCAGGTTTCTACTTGAGCTGCTGCCTGTGGTGAATTTTCATTGAAATGAAGACATTTCAACAAAACATTTCAGTTTCATCGAATCAGCATTTTCCAACAAAAGCTCTCACATGGGCTTATAAGGCATGAGTAAAGAGGGGGAGGTTTGGATTCCACCGCTTTAGACAAGGTATTTCATCATAATTTTCTTGGCCAGAAAATTGATCTTTGGCCTAAGTGGCAATGTACTCATCTGCAATAGAACTGTACTACCTTTAGCACAGCAGAATTCTACGCATCTCGCTCGAGACAGTTATTCTGATTTGAACTGCAATAGTGCCCACCAGTACAACCCTGACAGAGACAGAAAAGGTCTCTTCTGAAGGTATATTCAATCCCTGTGACAGAGTTTACAACCAGAATAGGCATCCTGGAACAGAGACTTGCAGAAGGGTTATAATGCAGAAAAATGCTTGCCTGTCTTTTGCTGCAAGTACTTATAGAAAACTAATGGATGTTTATTGCTAAGCCTGTTCAGATTTTCACTATGGCCAAAGGAAGGACAAAGAGCAGTAAAATCTCATCCCTGAGGGACCAACTTCAAAAGTTATTTTAGACTCATCTGCAGACCTCAACGACTTCCCGCCACCTTTTGCTGTTGTCAGCTAATGTGGAATCCTGATGTTTAGTACCTAGCTTCATGCCTTGAGATTCACTATTTGGCTACAGTTTTGGGCTATTTATGTCCTTGTCATAATAGTGTGCTAATTTGCAACCAGTCTCTTTTGATACACCTACCTAAAATAGTAAGTTCTTTCAACTTATTTCCACCTCTTGGGGTTTTGGTCTGGTCTGTTTGCCTTGACGTGCAGGCTGTGTGTTGAATGCCTGACCCCATGCTGCTGACATTGGGATGCAGCACAGCTCAGGACTGGGAAAAAGTGTATTTGTGAAGACTTTAAATAAAGACTACTCCTACATGATTTAAGCTAAGCACTCAAATCTGTTTTCACAAAGTGGCTCTAGTAGTTCAAGTCTAAACTGATTGAGGAAGATCTTTTGGTTTTCATTTGTAGGAACTAATTAGTACCACGGGAATCAGTTGGGCTGCAATGCCAGCAGGGGCAAGGCAGGCTTACCCCACACAGAAGTGTTAGACTGGCCTGCTTCCTCCTCCAGGCTTGGGTTTTTTTGAATTGGAGAAAGTAAATCATGCCAAACTGTGTATTAGTTTCATGGATAAGACAAAGTAAGAACAGACATCCCTTACTTCACTTGTGATCTGAATAGGATTTGATTATATTCTTAGTTGTAGCTGGACCATTCTGAGCAAAGATTGGCTGAGAGTGCTTTTGCCTACGTACTTTTTCTTGTTAAGTGTCACTTTGGGTTTATTAAAAAGGTGAAACTCTGAAACATTTAGTATGTGTTTCCATTGGTGTATGCTTTCCCCTAAATAGGGCTATGATCACCATTTCCAGAGCTGTGTTCAGTCACACTGCATAGTAATAAATATCTGTATCTTGGCCTTACCCAGCCAAGAAGATGGCACTTATGAAAAATCATTGCCAGTTTCACAAAGCTGTGAAGTCTGAAACTGTAAAATCATTTAAGTCAGTGTACACAGGCTACAAGTTTCCCAGGATCGTACGATTTGTATGCGATGGTATGTGAGACCTCAAAATGTTTGCTAAGCTTTTTTATACCTCATCTGTCGTGCAGGACATGTGAGGAGGTTTTGCATCATGAAAGAAAAGTGCCATCCACAGATAATATCCATAAAATTCCAACTCCTTAATCATGGACCCCTGATACAAGCAAAACTTCATTGACTTTTCTTCTTCCTTTTTTATTTGCCAAGAAAGTGAAATAGAGTCGACAAAGTATGGAAAATAACTATTTTGAGGGTTTTTTCCAGAACTTTCCGTGAATCATCATCAGCTATTGGAAAAATATTCTGCTAAGAATATTTTGTACTCTCTTTTCTTTCTTTTCCATGCCAATTGACTTGAAGGAGCTTTTTGCCAGAGCAAGGAATCTGCAATAAGTTGGGATTTCTATAAGTAAAGTAAAAAAAATGGCCCAGATAAATTGCTGGGGTGGTAGGGGAAAAACTGAAAGGAGGTTATTTAATCCACAAACAGAAAGACACACAGCTGTGCTATAAACAAAGGTATTCCAGTTCTGCTGCTGGTGGTCTGTTGAGCAATTCCTTTAACTTCTCTTTCCCAGGTATGTGGGTCTTTCTCTGTTGCTTTGCTTTTTGGTCACCAAGCTATGTGTATAATGTGCAGCTGGAGGGAGCTTCCCCTTGTAGCCGTTACAGACCTGTTTTCTGCTAGTCTTTCTTACACTGGTGTGAGTACTGCAGGAAACATAGTGCTACACAAAGCCCAGTTGACACTTGTTGCAAACTGACAAGAAAAAAACCCAGTGTGAACACAGGGGGTTTCTTGTCAGTTTGTGATTTTGGTTTTTTTAAACAAGAATTGATTGATGTCACCTGTATCTTGGCTAACCTCACATCATACGTCTTCTGCATGCTGGTAACCTTAGCGGGTTAGAGGTTGATTTTAACACCCAGAGCCCATAAGCCAGAGGTTATGCGGGTAGAAAAACAATGAGGTAATTCGTGGTACTCTGCAGTGGGAACCCACTGACACTACTAATTTCACAAAATCCATGGGACAGACAACTAGATCTACCTGTCTCTCTTACAGGCTCTAGTAAGGTAATTATTTAGCCAACAAAAAGTGAGAGAGGTCAAACTGTTTAACTCATTGCTGGTACTTGTTCCTTCCTGCAATCCGTTTCTTCTCTGACAACCAGAGGCCCATTTTGGAAATAATTATAATGTTGCAATCACAGAATTATAAACATGGGAAAAGAAGAAGAAACAAAAAGCCTATGAACTCTTAAAGAAATGTAGATCATGGTGTCATGCAAATTACAATGTCTTCACTGAGGAAAAGAATTATAGAAAAGTAAGGGAGAAATAAGGAAAAAACAGATTCAATTGTATCATCTCTCATATCAGAAAAAGCAAACCTTCAAAGATGCTCTATATGTGAAAAGTTTTATACTGGAAAACAGATTTTTATTCCTATCTGTAACTTCCCTGTAAAATACAAGACACTGATATTTGGAGAACACCCAATAATAACAGTTCGCAGGCCAGTGGTTTAAAAAATTGTCTGTCTCAAGATTATCCTAGCAAAAGCCATCATCTCTTGCCTTGCTTTGCATTTTGATGTACCCCTTGGAAAGCCTTGTTAACTCTGAACGTACGAACACTGCATCATCAAGACAACAGCAAGGCAAAATACCCTCAGCCACCACAACTGAAGATTTGGAAGATTCACTAAGACTCAGGATTTCAAAATCCCAAATAGATATTTTACGTTGTTAGAGATCTTCTCAGAAAGAAGCAAGATATCTCGTGAATAAGAATAAACTTCTAAACAAAGCAATCCCCACCCTCCCATTTTTGAGCTCAGTAAACAACTCTGCTTGTGGTCCTTTTATTTTCTAGTTCTGTGAAGATGTGGGTGGGCTCAGCTCTGCAGCCCATCACATCAAGCTGGGCCATAGTGGGCCCTGGAGCTCTGCACTTAAGACTTGGGGGTTGGTAGAGAGGCTGACCCATGAGAGGCACTGGCACCAGGTCTGCTCAACCTCCCTGCCCCCAAAGAGAAGGCACTTCTGAGCAAAATCTGTAAAGCTGGGGAAAGGTGAAATAAACCCTCCTCTATCTATGCATGCAATTCCCAAATGCATCTGAAGACAAATCAAATTAAAATAAATCTCTTGGATCCTATCTTGCAAGGATACTTCTGGCAGGAAAATAAACAGCTTCTCAGTAATATCAAGTTGCTCCATATGCAGTCTTAGCAGCACGCTCTGTCTGTTCCCTTTCATCCAAACACAGAATGATTTCTGCAAGTCAACTCAAAGCTATTCTAGTCCTTTTCTCCCCTGATCATCACAATGAGGAAAATCAGCAGACAGGATTGAAATGGGGGGGGGGGCTGTTACCTGTTACATCAGCAGTGGGGATGAAGCAGAGCACCACGAGGATCCCCAAGAGCATGGTGCTAACGGTGGGCCTGATGCTTTGTCCCCACCCCCTCCAGGCACTGTCACGTCTCCCAGGGCCCCGTACCACCAGCCCTCCTTCCTTGTGGGGCCAGGCTGCACACTCAGTTGCTCACACAACTTCTCTCCTCCTCCCTCTGCAGCACATGATACACAGCCAAGTGAAACCACTGTAATGGCAACGCCTGAACAGGAAGTTAAATTGTTTGATGATTTTAGGATGTTGCCTCTGCAAAGCTCAGTAACACCTGAAAGTCAGTGGAAGCCCGCATTTCAAAATAGGGACTCTTGTCCCTGTATTGCAAGATGCTTGCTTGTGTTTGGGGTCTGCAGTGTTGCTTCTATCAGTGAGAAATGGACTTCCCTAGAGGCACAGTGCTGCTTTTTTACCAAGAGTACATACAGATCTATGCTGTTCCCATCATCATGGTAGATGCAAACAGCAGTTTTTAAGCTCCTGGTGGCCAAACCTGGTCCCTCAGGAAGCTGTGTGCTCAAGAAGCTCCATCTGTCCTCACTCCCAGGAGCAGAAACCTTCCTCTCTTGGCCTGCCATCTTGCTTCTGTCTGCCTTCCCAGCCTCTGGAAACTGACATATTTTGGCAGTAGATAATCTCAGTTTGTTCATTTTCATTTTTCTATATCTGCCGGCTGTCTAAATGCAGACCAAACAGTGCAAGAAATAATGATCTGGTATACCTCCCCTTTTGAAAAAAATCCCAGGTCATAAATGAGCGTAACTGTAATCCCACTGACATCTAAAGGCAGCATAGAGCAGACACTCTTCTCAATCAGTGCTCTCAATAGAGGTCTTCTTATTTAAAGTTCTTCTCTTTGACTCACTTGGTAAATGCTGACTCCTCTTTGCCCTGCAAGCTTAATGTCACATCTCCCCTTGAAACAGCAGGATTCTGAGAGCCAGTTAATGGCATTTATAACTGTGAGGAACTCCGGTTAGCAACTGTTTACTTTTGTCCACCAAAATAGAAATATTGAACTGCATCGATGCCTGTCATTATCTGTGATTTATCTGAGAGTGTTTAGGAGGAAGACTTTCAAGGAAACTGGGCTGTTGCAGAAAGGGATGAAGACCCATGAGCTCCTTTTCCCTTAGTATCTGAGGTCTTTAGGCCATGTTTCGTCAGAAATTTCATATGCAGTCAAGGGGCAGCTTAGCTGGTGTATCCATTTGCAACCTAGGATTTTTGATAATATTCTTTTGTTTTGTAGTTGGTCTAAACTGCCTGAAATACAAAAAGTTTGGGAATTTCCTTGTACTTAAAAAATAAAATAAAAAAAAAAATTCTCTCTTTCTTAGCCCATTTTTGTGGCTTTTAAATAACCTTTTGAGTCATATGAGTGTACCTGCAGTTATCAATGAAATAGTCTCAATCTAATTTGAAGTGAGAATTTCCCAACACAGTTACAAAATTCAGTACCTTTTTGCTGAAGTGCACCATCTTGGAACTGAAAACCACTGTTGTCACACCTTCTGGCTCAGGTAACTGAACCTACACCATGTTTATTGAGCCTGCTGCACACTTCTGCGGCCTGGCTGTCAGATCCTTTCTGTATTTGGGATACAGATTCAAAATGCACAGAGGGTACATTCTCCCCTCATCACAGAATTATCAGAGTATACTGCAGAGTGCTACTGCCATTCATTTTACTGGCATGTGTTGTCAAAGGGGCACCATTCAGATGGAAACCTGATTGTGGAAACAGCTGTGTAGGAAGAGACTGCTCTAGGAATGTCACTAACAAAACCCAAGAGTGAACAGTGTACATTCTCTTCAGTGTGGCCATGAACCCATTTATTCCCTTCCATCCCTTATTGCTCCTCATGTGCCTCTCCCATGCTGAGGACAGGCCAAGGTATTTATTGCAAACAGGGGCTGGACTGGTGGAATGGAGGAGAAGGGAGAGAGGACACTGAGAAGTTATCCACTCTGGCCCTGGGGTCCAACCTCTGAGGTATCGTTTCTCTCTATGCTGACGAACAATGGTACCAGCATTTCCTTTTCCGGAGCCTCTGGTCCTTCAGTCATAATTTTAGTTTTGCCTAATGGTCTCTTTTTTGATCCCTGGAATAAGGAAGGGCATTCCGCCCTTCTTCCCACCCCCAAAATAGCTCTTAGCTCATCTGCCCTTCTTGGTTTTCTAGGATTTTAAAAGGGCACAAATCATCCCTGTGTTCCCAAGGGTATGGCTTCTTTCCTTCTCCAAATTGCAGCTCTTCTCTAATGTAAACAATTCATTTCTGATCACTGAGATACTCAACTTTGTCGTTTCACGTGTATGATCTTTTTCTGTTGCCAAAGTTATCACGAGGGTAGGGGAAGGAGATACTAAGTGCAAGCTGTCTTGAACTTAGGACAAACCACACAAATGTTTAGCTAGGGAAAAAAAGAACAACCTGAAATTGTCCCTCAGTGTGCCTCACTCCAAATTTTTCATTATTCTCCCACCTTTCTAAGTATCTTCTATACCCTGAGCATTACCCAGGGGTGTTCTGCATTACCATTAATTGAAGTACCATTCACTTCTTATCTCATTTTCCATTCAGAGATCAGTCTGTGTGTATGCTGGCAGACAGGCTCTGCTTGCTGTCACAGCACTGGAAATCTAGACTAATAATTTCAGTGGAGCTAGAGCTGTGAGAGCCCTGAAAGAGCTGAAGATGCAATTTGGACATGTTTGGGAAAAAGGTTTCCATCCCATCATAAAATGGCTGAAATTGCAGTCCAAGAGAAGTAGTTAAGAGGTTTGTAAATGGGTTTTCAGGGTATGCAAGAATCTAGAATATGGGCTTTTTACTCATTATGATATGTAAATAAAGAAACACTCCAGGTATTTGACCTTTTTGAGCTTTTCATCCCTACTGTTAGAAAACCAAGTACTGAGAGGAGCTATGACCTGAGTTTTAGAGAAATGCTGATATGATCTAGTATGGTTTCTCAGAGGATTATCTGGAGATCTTTAAAATAGTCCAAAGAAATCCCAAGCAGGCTTCCAGTTTGCCTTTATGTTGAAGAATGAGGAAGTAATGACCCACATATCCTGAGCCAAGCACTCAGCTGATAAAGTCAAGAAAGAGATTCCAAATTTGTTATGATTAAGGAAGTGAGTTGTTTAGATTGTTTAGATTGAACTCCCTTCAATCACTGGAAGTTGTATAGTGCCATAATTGTTCCCAGCACATACTCCTGGTCTCAGGCAAATAAAAATGTGCATGCATAAGAAGAGTAATTGCAACAATATATTATCATTCACTTATTCCTGAGAAGTTCAGTCTAATGGGAGGAGAGTTTTACTAGGGAGACAGTGAACAATCATCTTATGTTCACCCCTACTGTGTCTAGTAAGCTAACCCTAAAGAGTTATGTTGAATTTGTCATCCAAGGCACAATCTGAAGTTACATATTATCTCTACACATGGGGAATGGAATCACAGCAAGGTGAAAAGACATGCCCAAGGACATGCCTCAGGTTAGTGACTGAGCTAGGCACCACTACAAGTAGCCCTGTGCTCTTCAGTTTTCATGATCTGATCTGCTTTCTGACAGCCTCTGTCCTATGTTGTCTTTTCCCTTGCACGCCCACGAATTTTTACTGTGTTGTGAGTCTTTCCACACCCTTCTTTCTGTGAATCCAGATGCCTTCATTCCACAAGTACAACCATCACACTTAGAAGGGAAAGTTAATATATACTCCTTCAGAGGCAATTTTCAGTTGGTTTTCTGTACCTTAAAATATTACAACTGATGTGTAGTATGAAGAAACCTTCCAGGGCCAGAGTTTAACAGGGCATGTCACAGTGGAAAGGGAGATTTCTCTTTTGAAAAGATGTGAAATCTTGTTTCCAGCCCTCAAGATAGCAGCCCATAAATGTGTCACTAATATAAGACTAAGAGCTACCATCAAACACATACAAATTTGAGAGAGAGCTTGAGGGAATCCTTCCCTGTTTGGGGAAAGGAACATTTTCCTGACAGGATGATTATTTTTAATGCCAATAGCTGGAAGCTCTTCATTACTGTTTGTTGGGAAAGGGGCAGGAGTTCACACACGTACATTCCTGGCTCTTTTCAGGTTAAAAATATCATCCAAGTTTCAAAGTTGTAACCATTTCTTCTGGCTGTACCTATTCCTGGTTTGGGATGTTAGAACAAGTCCCAAGGCAAGTGGTTTAATGGGTGAAGATGGAATGGCTCAAAGGTGCATGATTAACTCCATCTATCACCTGCCTGTAATATGACATATGGCTGCTGCTTCATTAGGGGTCACATGTTTAGGTAGGAACACCTGAAATGAAGCCCACAGGTGAGCATGTATCTGCTAAATGTTCTGTGATAAAAGAGTTTTGAGATTAGGGTTAGAGGTGGAATGATTTCTTTTAGCTGTGTTGTTTGTTTCTCTTGGGAAGAAAAGGTGAGTGAGACTGCTGCATACTACTACTGCGTTTGACAAAATTGCTCTAGTTTACTTCAGCTGAGACCTGATTCTTGGGACTGGTAGAGCAAAGAGACCCTGGAAAAACCATTCTTGGATCTTAGCCTGTTTTAGTGCTGCTGCCAGGAGCTGGAGGGACCGGGCTAGCTCTTCCAATTCTGCACTGAATGATAGGCCAGTGATCTGCCTTTCCTAAGGAGGAGTGTATGGGAAAGCTGGAAAATAACCAGTAAAGACATGAAGGGTATGGCAACAAAGCAGTGTTGTCCTGTATATGAATATCTGTTTAAGATGGAGATAATTTCTTTCCATCTCCTTTATACTGCTGAAAACAAAAGGTATGAACAAGCACTGCAGGAATATTTCAAACAAATCTTCAGATGAAACCAAAGGCTAGAATTCTTCAGCAGACAAATTCAGAGCTCAGCTTTATGCAAAAAGGCAACTTCCAGGCCTGGCTGCCTACAGCTTGTCCAGAGAAGTTGCATAGATCCCTAAACATCAGTAACAACATTTGTACCTGTTAGGGCTGTGTTTTGATATCTGAGGGCAAGGTGGAATTGTCACAGGTACTGCAAGTTGCAAGGGTCTGTAGAGGGCTGCTGGAGGAGGAAGGCTTTCTGGAGCTGGTGGAACTGCAGTCACATACAGCAGGAGCCCAAGCCTGGGAGGTACACATGCAACAA